AAACCCTAAACCCTAAAGGGTTTCCCCAATAGAGTAACTTAAATTAAGTTCCTTAACAGCAACCCAGGTTGTGCGTTTGTTGTTGGTGGCACGGGCTAACGCGACTGGAGCCGTTGGAATTTGCTGTCTACGTGGCCATCACAAAGCCTTACAATTGCTCTTAGAAGCTGGGGCTGCTATGGACAGGTGCAACAGCCAGGGTGAGACGACTCTCTGGCTTGCGTGTGAGCACGGTCATGTTGAAGCTGCCCGGCTGCTTTTGCAGAATGGTGCGGGCAGAGGCCCTTCACAGCACGACTGCAAACGACTGATTGCAGCGCATGGTAGCCGTCTGCAGATCCAGCAGCTATTGCGGGAGGCTGGCACGGGCACTGATTGGAACAACCATGTGGGTGAACTGCTTCTGTGGCTTTCATGCGAAGATGGGCAGGCGGACATGGTGCGCCAACTGTTGACAGAGGGAGCCAGAGTAGATTGGTCCAATGGTTTCGGGGAAACGCTTCTTGGGCTTGCTCGTGAGAACGGACATGAGGAACTTATGCACTTGCTGACCGCGGCCAGTTCAGATGCAGATGCACCAGGGCTCCATGTTAGACATGATGGATATCGCACCTTGGGGACTCAAGCTGGAACCTGACGGAAATCCCACTGGCCTGTACACCTCCCACAGGACTTACTGGTTCTTAGAAGGGAATACAGGCATACACCCCTTATGTAATATATTCCTATATCCCCTACTAAGAGCTAGTAAGAGTAGTTTCATGGACGGGCTGAGTGCAATGTGGCTTGCAAAGTGGGAAAGTGCACTTCGGAATTCCACACACCCCTCAAGAGTTGATTATCAGGGGCCCTTTTGGGAGTTCCTAGAATAAGGGTTGCAGAGTATTTAGTGGAGTCTATACTTGGGGCCTCCTTAGGGTTTAGAGTTCAGGAACCCGCAGATACTCACTAGATGCCAAACGGAAGTTACTTTGAAAGCTGGGGCTGGAACCTCAAAAGTATGTTGAAGAATTGCTAGCAGTATTAGCTTCATGGGTTTTAGGCCATTCAACTGTCCAATTTCGAGGTCCAGAGAGTTGTTCCAGAACCAGAGCAGGAATATGGAGTTACGGGGTTCAGGCTTTAGGGCTTATGGGCTGCCGATGAGGAGTCTGAGGGTAGGTTGTTGACTGATTGACCTTTGCAAGGTTGCACACATGTTTCCTGTTATGCCAGCAAAGATTATTGCAACGTTGTCATACTTCGAGGCCATATCACGGCTTTTCCAGGCAAGTCTAGAAGGTCTTTCCTGAGGTTGGGGGCTTGTCCTAAAATGTCCAGTGCCTCAAGGGTTTAGATAGAGCTCAAGGTTTAGGGTTTAGAGTTCGCTGCGCAGGGGGTAAAAGTGTTTCATCAGCACGCATCTTGGACCCAAACGGATAGGATTCTTGGATCCTTATAGGGCTATAGGATGCCTCAAAAAGGCCTCATCATGACACATGTATAGTTTGCCTTGAGTAGATAGAATATAGGGTGTATGGGGATCTTATTATGACATACCCGAAGCCATATTCCATCTACGTAAGGGGGACTATAATTACTCAAGAATCTATAGCACGTGGTGGAGCAACATCAAAGGGAGTTATGCTTGGATCTTGGCCCTGAATATTTTAGCAGCTGCGTGAAATCCTGAATGTTCTAGGCAATGGTACAAGCCTTTCGAGTCGGGATTTTGCGCTTTTCCCTAAGCGCTCCCGATGTCATAGGTCTTTTGATTCGGGATTTCACCTGCAAGCCCAATCCAAACCTATGTTGTAGACTCCGCGCTCTACGGGGTAATTTCTCAACATAACATCTATATAATCGCTGAACCGGACTCCTGGAATATCAGATTAATATTATCATCTTCACGAAATACTTGCTGAGAGTCACTATATCAGGATGAGAAACCCCTAGATCCTATGCCTCTCCAATCTTCAGCTCAAGCCTTTGCGTTTGGGGTTTGGGTTGGTTGGCTTTTCGACTCCTGGATACAGACCCCCATCATCTGGTGTAATCCCCATACATCTCTGGGGTCCCCAGTTATATGTACCTGGATCCTGAACTAGCCCGTCATTTTAGGAACGGGCATGCCCAGGATTGAAAGCCCCACTCTCACATCCTCGGCTTGTGGGTGCAGCGTTCAGGCTTCAAGTCCATCTATGCAATCAAAACCCTACTCTTCCACCCACATATGATTTGAGGCATATGCATCAATCATGGGCTCCCTGGGAGCCCGTGACCCTCAAACCTAACAGCATTGGCGTTTCCCGAAACCCTAAACCCCTATCCTCCTGGGAAGAATTTCTCACGTATCTTGTAGCATAACCCCAACCCAGACCCTCCAATGTAGTACTGTACCCTTTTGGCAGTCCTAGTCAGAGTCCTAACCAAAAGCCATATTAAACATGAAACCTAAACATGAACTGCACTTGAGAGTCTAGGAAGGAGCTATTAAACAGATCATGTCTACTATATCTGTAGTCTCCTTAGGAATTACTTTTGCATTTTGTTCTAGTATAACCCTGAGGAATCATTAAACATGACAGTTTTTATTCTAGGTCCAAGGATACTACAGATAAACCCAATATATACCCTATGGTACTATAGTAGTTTCCATTTTCTTTTCCATTATCCCTATATATCCCTATAAAACCCCATATAATCCCTATAAAACCCATATAATCCCTATAAAACCCATATAATCCCTATACAACCCCATATAATCCCTATATAACCCCAATATTCTATCTAGGTCTTCTAAACCCTAAACCCTAAACCCTAAACCCTAAGGGCAGTACATTAAACATTACCATCCCAGGCCCTTCTCAGACTGCAACTGGTACTCCCAGAGGGAGAGGCAGGATTCCTTTTGGTTTAGGGTTTTGGGAGGTTTTAGGGTTTAGGGTTTGGGTTTGGGTTTGGGGGGGTTGGGTTTGAAGTCTGGGGGGCTTAGGGTTTGGGGTTTAGGGGCTTGAGGTACAGTGCTTTGGGGGGTTGTTTGCTCAGTAGGGAATGGAAAGGAGATGGGAACAGACCGGAATCCCCAAGATTTGTAGAGTAATTGCGTTTGGGCTCTTGTTATGGGTGTTGGGCTATGATTACCTCCGCTTGAGGTCCGGTGGATACCCCACAAGTATGTAGAAGACTTGCCTGTTGGTCTATTTTTAGGGTTGTCGGGCTATTATTTTGCCTATTCTTGTGTCCAGGCAGGGTTCAGGGATTGCAGTTTGCTGTAACTTGACTTTGACGCAGTGATTTGTTAGCGGTACTGCGAGGTTGTCAAAAGGATGGTCCTCTTCTGGGGTACCCTGGATATTCCTCCATTCGCGGCCGCTTGTAGCGGGGATCCAAAAGGGATCACAAGTTTAGTGCTCTCATAGTCAGGTTTCTAGCCCTGAGCCCCAAACCAAATTCCCCGTATCCCTTCTTGGATGCATGCAACCTGCGGCAACAGCCTGAATCCTTGAAATCCTGGCTCGAAAGCCTAAAGCCGTGCCTCCCGAAATCCCAAACCCCCCAAATAGGAATTCAACCTTCAAAACCCCGACTCCATAAAAAGCTACACCTCCAAAACCCTGAATTGTAAGGATAAAGCTCAGTCCCTCAAGCCTGAAACTCAAACCTTAAACCCCAAACCCACACCCAAACCACCCTAAACCCTGAACAACTTAAATTTCCTAAACTCCCTAAACGCCCTGAGCCCCCGAAATTCACTCCCTAAACCCCCTAAGCTGCCTAAACTCCCAAAACTGCCTAAACGCACTCCCTACACTGCCTAAGGCCCCTAAACTCCCCAAACTCCCTAAACTCCCTACACTGCCTAAACGCACTCCTTAAACTCCCTAAACCCCCTAAACTCACACCTGAAACTTTAGGCCCTAAACTCCCCAAACTCCCTAAACCCCCCAAACTCCCTAAACCCCCTAAACTCCCTAAAGTCCCGAAACTCTTTTCCTTTGCAGGTCGCCGTGGAAGGCTGCCGTGTCCAGGAGCCAGCGGAGGGAAACCTCAGCGGCTTCCCAAGTCCTTCCCGTAGATTTAGGGCTTGGGGTTTAGGGTTTGGAGCTTTTGGTTTGGGGTTTGGGGGTTAGGTTTTGGGGTTTAGGGCTTGGGGTTTGGGGTTTAGAGTTTTGGGTTTTGGTTCAGAGGCTTAGAGCTCCGGATTTTGGGGTTCAGGAGTTTAGTTTAGGGCTGCAGGGCTGCGGTTTAGGGTTTAGGTTCAGTACTGCCCCCCCTCAGGAACAGCTGGATAATATTTTTGATATGGTTATATATAGTCCTTCATAGGACCCCTAACATAGACTGTTACTGGGTGGGCGCAGTACCCAAGGTTTAGGGTTGTAGGGTATGGGGCTAAATCTCGCCGTAGAGGAGGAAGGGGAGTCTGGTAACCCCAAAGGCAGTATAACACGGTTTAGGGTTTAGGGTCTAGGGGTTTAGGGTTTAGGGTTATAGTTGACATTATCGTAGGGATTGGAAGGAGTCTATAGGGGTTACAGCCAGTAATAAGAGGAGTTTGGTACCCTCAACTCCCAAAACAATCATCCCGCCACTATCAGATGACTCTTGCCCTAAGGCTCCAAATAGCCCAATGTAGGTCATATTTATAGACTTTGGGGCCCAATGTTGGTACTATTTATAGACATGGAGCCCTAGGGTTGGAGCATCCTTACTATAGGGTATGGGGTTGCCCAATCCCCGTATTGTAGAAGAATGGGGTATAAGAGAGGTTAGAGGGGTGAGGGGTGCAGTAGCCATACATGGAGGCGGAAGGGGAAGGGAGATTCGAGGATGGGGGAGGAGTACGGGGGATTTTGTGGGCTTGGGGATGTAAGGCTTGGGGGTTGGGAATTTAGTCAGTGTTGTGGGACTTTCGACTTCCTGAAAGTTGTGCGAGCACCCAAGAGTGACACGACAAAGCAGGGAGCAAGTGTACCAAGGCTCCTGTAAAGTCTGTAGAGTGATCACCTTCAGCGCGTAGGGTCTAAAGTTTTGGGTTCCTAAGCCAAAGCTGGTCTGTTAGTTTCAAAGGGGATACTACAGGCCACAAAGCAGACAGAGCAGAGCATGGTTTCCTCCGATTTGTTTGACGATGATCTGAGAAGACCATACACTCCCCCAAACTAACATGGAAACCCATATAGTCCCCTTTTAGAAGGACAGTAGTCTTTATAGGGCCCTTTTTGGGTTTCCATGTTAGTTTCCGGGAGTGTACTTGGAATAAAGGATCAGGTGTTTTAGTTGCATCCCAAAGCTCCCCTTAACCCTAAACCCCTAAACCCTAAACCCTAAACAACAATCCGCGAACCCTCGTCTGACTCGCGCACGAGAATCTCTTCGTCTTGCCACTCTGTGGGCCAGGAGCCACTGTTGCCCTTTGCCAGGGGAAACAGTTTAGCGTTGAGGGGTTTAGGGTCTAAGGGTTTAGGGATTTAGGGGTNNATGTTAGTTTCCAGGAGTGTAACTTTCCACAAAAAACCCTTGTCAGGTAGGCCCTAAACCCTAAACCCTAAACCCTAACCATAACTTTCCACAAAAACCCCTTGTCAGGTAGGCCTGGCTCCCAAGTCATCAAGAGTGGCTTGAACCGACCATCTGAACTAGATAGTCAAAACC